GCTTAGTCATCACGGCCGGATAAAGGTGGGGCAACCACCCAGGCCGTCACTACCTACTTCGACCGACTCCTGCCTACAATGTAAGATAGAACAACAACAAGAAGAACAAGCAATAGGATCACCAACAGACGAGTGATAATTGCTACCACTATTTGTCGTATACGACCCCGTGAACCAACAGGTAGGTAAGGCTTCGGTGATCAATCGTAGTCTTCTCAAGGTGGTAGCTGAAAGCGGATGTTAATCCTGATACGAAGTTAATTGCTGAAGAAGCTATGGGAAGTCTGTCCTGGAGCCCGGCTCGAGTCCATCCTATATACAAGTCCTGATCCTGAACATATCCTTTGTTGCCTGATCACCATGTTCGTTGGTGATCACTAAGTGGATACTGGTGAGCGCTCACTTTGGGTGATGATGATGACGATGATGATGTATTTAACGTCTGGTAATAAAAGGACGTGCCGGGCGCTATGCCGATATGGTCTATGCTAATCTAAACTATGTTATAGGCTACCGTCTTTACCTAACGTTCCTGTTTAATGACTCGGGTAAATTTTGGAAAAGAAATTAGTCCCCTCTATCTATTCGTATAGAAGAGAGGCTCCCTTAGCAGAACCTAATAAAAAATTAATATTTGCTTTGGCTATACGTTGGCGGAGGTAGCGCGGTGTAGCCTTGCGTCCACGCTTATAAAAGTAGAAATGGACTGGTATCTTGGGTTTCCTATAGCTACAATTAAGTAACGCATCTTGATGAGCGAATCTCTCGTATTATGTTATAAAGTCTCTATGATGGGATCTTGCTGCGTATAGCCTTCCTAGTAAGTGCCGAGGGAGGCGGAGTTCGGGCGGCTTAGGGTGAAGAATTATCTCGAGGTCGGTATATTACCGAGGGCATTGGGATAGCCATTTTCTGGCAAAGGCTTAGAAGGTAGCTACTTTAGCTTGCCTTTCTAGGTGCGCTAATAAGGGCTGTGGTTGTGATTTTGGGATTAGTTTGTAGGCTTCCTTGGCTAGAGTATCCGCTTCTTCATTTCCTGGTACTCCCGTATACCTAGGGCACCACCAAACATAAACCCTGCCGGGGGTTGTCCAGCTCTCTCTTTGTCTCCGAGCCCAGTAGGAAGAGAGCCTATTGAAGGCCCTAAATCTAGCCTGGCTACTTCCTATACTCTGGGAGTATAGTCTAGCCGCGACTACGAGGTTATCGAGGTAGATATGGACGTTATCTACTATACGAGCCATAGGAGCCCGGGTAGCTTCTATTAGGCCGTAATACGTAGTATATACCTCTGCGTTATATACCTTAGTTTAGGAGCCGAGTAGTTCGGATCCGTAGAAGATCTACTGTATAGTTTAGTACCCTACCTAGCCTGCTCCGGCGGAGGTACTATTGCCGTCCGATATCTAGGACCTATTAGTATAGATAATAATATCCCGCTTAGAGAAAGTTATTATCCTGTCTATAAAGGAGAGGGCCTGTTCTTCTTTGGTCTTATTAGGTTCGTAGCCGACCCTGGCGAGGGCTGTCTGCCAGTCCGCTAGTTGCTCCTAAGGGGGGAGTTCTAACGGATCGATGTATTTGGTATCTTTGCTTACGAGGCTTGCTATTTGTCATAGCCGTGAGTCTGGTCCTGATTTGTCCTTGAGTCTCGTTCGGAGAGGGTGTCGCTCGTCTAGATGATGAATTCTGGTGGACGCTATGTGGAGCTTTGCGTCCAGTATCACCTCTGCTGGGGGTAGAGCCGCCTCGCGCTATAGGATCGGTATAGGCGTAGTTTTGTATACGGGGACCATCGTTCTAATGGCTTTGGTTTACGTCGCGTCTAGTTAATGTAGTAGACTACTAACCCCGTTTAAGATAGTACGTCTATTCTTTATCCGGCTCCTGCCGGGCCACTATATTTTAGATACATAAGTTAGTACTAAGTAGGTAATATATAAGAGGTGATCGCTCGACGAAGTAAGTACGTAGGCGCGCCCCAGATAGTGTTCCCTAGTCCCCGTAGTCCATTAACTATTTAGTATGCTTTTATAAAGAGGTTTCTTACGTAACTCTTAAATATAAGTTTATGGTCGAAGTGAACGCCGAGCCAGCGTAGAGAAGAGCCTTCTTTAATAGCCTAAACTATATAATACCTCCTATCCGGTAAACCTACTATGATTAATAGGTTTCCGTCTTTTTATCTCTTAATAAAGTGGATTAGTTCGGACTTATCGAGGTCAAAAGTGATTCCTTCCGTCGCGCCCTATCCTAAGGTTTCTTTCCATTCCTTAGTTAGGATGTTATAGTTGTTTTCTAGTAATATTAAGCTTATTAAGATAGTAACGTTATCGGTATAGCTAAAATAAGATCGCTTCCTTCCTAAGCGAGCTATACCTAGCTTAAAAAGAGGTTTAATATAGAGCATGAACAGAATGGGAGACACGGGTAATGTCAAGTTGGGATGTTGACGCAGGGTGGAAGCTCTCAGAGGCCAACTGCAGTTAGGGGTAGAATGATGAATTACTGAAGTCTGCTCCTCCCTCGACGTGTACTCCCTGCGCTGTATATATATCTGAGCTGTTCCTTTGTTGCTTGGACTCCTTACTACCTCTTACTAGCCCCTATCCGGGAGGGCTCTGACAGGGCGCCCCTTCCAACTAGGCTTCGTCCTCGAAGCTCAGTAGCGATGAACGCGCTGCGTTATCTCCCTGCGGTAGCGTTGCCCTTTGTCGCGGCGGCGTCGATGCGTTCGCGGAGATGCCGACCGCTTGTCCAGGTGTGGGTTCCGTACACGGAACAATAGTTGCCGCCCGGCCCCACATCGGCGACCTCTGGGCCGCCGCTGCCTTAGCTGCGTCTATGGGTTCATCAGGAGCTAGGGCTCGTCGCCCAATCGATACCCGATTCTCGTATATGCTGATTAGAGCTGCGTCCTCGATGTGTGATGCCGGCTCCCACGTGTCCTCCTCGCTGCTGTAACCCTTCCACCTGATCAAGTATTGTCTCTTCTGTTTTGGCCCCCTGTGTTGAATGATCTCGTCTACCTCGTAAAGGGGCTCGCCGTCGATATCGCCAATGGGTAATGGCTTTCGAGGTGCTCCTTCGCGATGTCGGTAAGGCTCCAGAAGTGATACGTGGAACACGTTATGGATCCGGTACCATCGTGGTATATCTAATTCGTACGCGACTCCCGAGGTCCCAATGATCGCTTTGATCATGAAGGGTCCCAGGTACTTATCAGCTAGCTTGCGGCTTGGTCGCTGCCTCCGTATGTTCTTTCCTGATAACAGAACCCATTCGCCTACTTTGTACGACTTGTCGACCCTGGATTTGTTGGCTTGGTTCTCGTATGCGTTTCTGGCGTTCCGTAGTAGTGGTTGTAAGGCGACTTGGTCTGCTCGTAGGCGTACTGCCCGCTCCTCGGCAGAGACATTCTGCGTCCCTTCGTTCGTTCCTGTTATGAGTGACATTGGGCATTTCGGCAGGAAGCCGAAGAGAGCTTCTGCGGGTGCTTTTCGGATTACTGAATGCCATGCGTTATTATATACGAACTCAGCGAGGTGAAGGCGCTGAGCCCAGTCGGATTGGTCCCAAGTGCAGAAGCAGCGTAGGTACTGCTCGAGATGTTGATTCTGTCGCTCCGTTTGACCGTCCGTCTGCGGGTGGAAGGCTGTGCTTAGGCGTCTCTTGGTAGCCAGGAGGTAGCATAGGTGAGTCCAGAACTTGCTCGTAAAAAGGGATCCTCGGTCTGAGACGATGCCTTCTGGGACGCCGAACTTGGTGAAAATCCTTGCGAACAGTAGATCGGCGAACCCTTGCGCTGTGAGCGTCGCCCTGGTAGCTATGTAGACGCTATATTTCGTGAACCTGTCGACTACCACCAGTACCGCGTCGCATGGCCTCTTTCCTATCAGCGTCGTCGATGTTGGCAAGCCGGTGATGAAGTCGAGGGAGATCTCCTGCCACGGCCTTGACGGTGCTGGCAGAGGTCGTAGTAGGCCGTAGGGTCTGTGGTGACGTGTCTTCGTTCTCTGGCATACTACGCATGTGTTAATATGGTTCTTTACGTCTCTACTTACCCCGTCCCAGTAGTAGTAGCGTTTAAGCAGAGCCATCGTTCGCTTGACGCTGTAATGGCCCGCCGTAGGCGCATCGTGGTATGCCTCCATGACCTCTCTCCTCAATCCCCGGTGCATTGGGACGTAGACTCGGTCGCCGTAGCACAGCAGACCTCTCGAGTCGTAGCCCCAGCTCCTTCGTTGCTTTCCTCCAGCTTGGCGAGGGCGTCGTTGCCTCCTGGTCCACTGGCGTTCCTGAACAAAAGCGTCCTCTTGTTGGGCTGCTCGTAGTTGACCTATCATTGGTAACTCGCCGCTACACAGCGCTGTTTCGGGTATTCCCCTGCCCTCGGGATCCCGTGGAACGAGCAGCTCGCGATCTGCAGTTCCAGCGGCAGGCTTAAGCAACTCCCGGAGTGCTACGCCGCTTCTCTGACGCCCTGGGCTCGTAGCCCCGTTGCGCCTCTCGAGGGGCTCCTCGTGAGCCATCTCTCGAGCCGGAGCTCCTACCCTCCTTCTCTTGCTTCTCCGCAATGCGCTTGACTCCTCATCTTTCGAACCGCTCCTGCGGCGCCCTTGTGCCCTTGTGAGCAGTGCCACCCGCAGCGGCTTCCAAGCTTCTTCTGCACTGTGAAGCTTAATCCTCATCTTTCGAACCGCTCTTGCGGCGCCCTTGTGCCCTTGTGAGCAGTGCCACCCGCAGCGACTTCCAAGCTTCTTCTGCACTGTGAAGCATAATCCTCATCTGTTCAAGCAGTTCTTCCGCACCGTTGACATGGCCTCCTTCGCCGTGGTCAGGCCGTCTTGACAATCCATCTGCTGGGTTCACGACGCCTGGTTTGAACTGTATCTCTATTTTGAACGCCGCTAGCTCGTCGAGCCAGCGCAGCTGTCTCCCGTTGGGCCTCTTCTTTGTGTCCAAGAAGTGTAAGTTGAAATGGTCTGTGAAAACAGTGATCACGTTCTGGCTGTATGCGAGGTAGTGGCGCCAGTTACGCAGTGCGTCAACGATTGCTGGTAGCTCTGCATCGCCCGTTCCGTAGCGGCTCTCAGGGTGAACCCGACGTCGCGTCTCCGTTCGAAGATGCAATGCATCCATGACGTCTTGACGTTTCCCTGTAGGCAGCTCACTGCGTAAGCTACTTCGTCGCGATCGCTTCTCATCTGTTGCGCCCATAAGTCGAAGCGGTAGTAACAGTCGAGCAGAAAGCTGTGCAAGTCCCTTGCCGACTTGCCCGTGTACGACAGGCTGGGGAGGGACAGAGGCCTAAACACCGAAGAGCCTCCTGTGACCGCCGCTTCTGTTGGTAGGGAGCTTGTGGAAGGTGGCTTGGGGGCGATGAACTCGTCGCTCTGTTGTTGCTCTGACGGCGCTCCTGATACAGCCTGGGTAAGGGGGCTAACCGTGTTGCGGAGGTCCACGGCCCCAGCTGAGCTCAATACAACTCCGGGAGCGGGCGCAGCTGAAACCGCTTGTCTCAATCCGGGAGCCGGACTGGCCGAAGCGCTTCGGAGGCGTTCTAGATCGGCGCGCCTCTTGCGTAGGCGTTCCTCGTGCGTAGCGATAAGGATTTCTTCCTCTAGGAGTCGTTCTTCCTCTCGTAGTTGCGAGAGTCGGTCGCTGTTGGTGCGGTTACGGCCCAAGGGAGGGGAAGAGGAGGGGTTAGTATCTTCGTCGTAATCGTTATGTTCGTCGTCCTCTATTTGAGCGGTGCTCCTCTTATTCTGTTGCATCTCGCGGCCTATAGAGCCGCGAGCTAGTCCTGCTGGCTGAACTTGAGGGATTTCTGGGAGGTCGGAAAATGGTGTCTCTTCTCCACGTTGTCGTCGCGCTGACTGCGCTCTCTCGCTGCGTCTCGTCTGGGCTGGCATTTCGAGCTTCCGGCCTGGTCCCCTTCGTGGGTAGAGACTTCAGACTGTCAAGTTGGGATGTTGACGCAGGGTGGAAGCTCTCAGAGGCCAACTGCAGTTAGGGGTAGAATGATGAATTACTGAAGTCTGCTCCTCCCTCGACGTGTACTCCCTGCGCTGTATATATATCTGAGCTGTTCCTTTGTTGCTTGGACTCCTTACTACCTCTTACTAGCCCCTATCCGGGAGGGCTCTGACAGGTAAGCCTTGTAGTAGTCCGTATTCGAGACTGAAGACGTCTCCTACCTCCTTATTAAGCCTTATTCTTACTCTCCTTCCGGTAATAAAGCTTAAGACCTAGCGTACGAGGTTCTCCGGCCATCCTTATTCGTAGAGGCGTCGGATTAGTCGTCCTAGGAGTACGGCGTTAAAAGCCCCTTTTATATCGAGCGTAAGTATAGAGGTAACCAGGCCTCTTTGCCAAGCGTACTCGATGTCGTAGATGGCCGCTGCGATAAGGTCGCTATAAGAGCGAAGAGGGAGTATTCCAAACTGTTAATCGTACAGAACACGATATTTAACTACGATCTAGGCAAGTCGTCTAGCGATAAGTCTCTCCAAGCCTTTTCCGAGGACGGCCAAGAGCGTAATTAGCCTATAGGAGCGCGGGAGTGTCTTGTCTCTTTTTCCCGGTTTTGCTAGGATCACGAGAGTTACTTTTTTAAAATAAGTAGGATACCAACCCTTACGTATATACCCGCTATAAAGTAAGAGGACAATATCCTCGATAACTAGCCATACTATTTTTAAAACAATTGTAGTGATTCCGTCGGTCCCAGGAGTCGTATTTCCCGCGGTAAGAACCGAAGACCGTACCTCGTCCTTCGTAACCTACGGGAAAGGAAGCGTAGCTTACCTTTATAAGACTGGGCTTTCTATTGGTATATCCTCGGAGATTGCAGCGTTTCTAAGGAGGACGCGGGTAAATAAGTCGCGCTTCTCTTTTAGTTATGAGATAAGCGTGTCTTGGTTATTTATATCTCGGAGTAGCGGGGTCTGAAAGGATCCTATGGCTTTGTACTAACCGACCATTTTGAATATATCTTTACTTAAGGAGGCTAAGGAGATCTTATCTTTTTAAAAGGTATCCTTGGAGCGTTTAAACTCGTAGAGGAAGTCCTATTTTAGAGCTTCGACCTCCTCTTCTTCCCATTAGTAGTTCACTCCGGCTGCGCGGAGTCTTGCTAACATCGCTCGCTTACTCGCATAGGCTCGGTATTTACGTATGTAGCTTTCGCTCCAGTATGGTCTCCCTGTACCTTTCCCGAGCGTGCGCTTTGTGGAAGCCGTGAGTGCTTTAATAAGACAGTCCGTAAGCTATTATGCTAGGAGATCTAAAGACTATGGGTCTTAGATGTTGCTTGTAGTGCGGCATATGGGTTGTAAGTTACGTTTAATGATGCCGAGGAAAAGCTCCTCGTCCATCGTGTCGAGCCGAAACCTTCCCGGGGTCTGGCTAGGTAAATCGATCAGGGCCAAGGGGACCCGGGTAAGCAGAGATTCGTGGTCTGATGTCGTATATAGTAACGTTTCTATGCTGGTGGAAGCCCCATGGAGGTTACTGGACGCCCAGCATAAATCTAGGGTATTGCCGCCTTTATACGTAGGTTCACCTATAGGTGACATTAGGACAAGGCTGGCGGCTTCTGCCCATTCTACTAGGTTTTCAGCGTCCGGGGAACTCGTGGCCTCGGGCTGCCACGTCTAATGGTGTAAGTTAAAATCCCCCGTAATTAGTACTCGATCCTTAGGTTTAGGTTACCAGGCCGCTAGGATGTTCCTAAGAGCCTAGCCAGATCGCAGAGAGCCACGAGGGGCGTTATACACGTTAATAACTATAAGGACCTCCTTCGTTCCTAAGAGGAGTCGTAAGAAGAGCAGGTCTATAGATAGATCGGGTAAAGGCCGTATTTATACGCCTCGTACCCCAGTTCCTCTACGGAGGTAAGTAAGTACCCTAGGACGGTCTTCGGTCTAGTTATCTACTAGGGTAAAAGTCTCAAAACCTAGGTGGTGTCTTATAAGCCTCCTCTCCTCCGAACGGATAGACGGCTCTTATATTAGGAGTATATCGATCTGGGCTACGTAAGCCAGGTTTAGTACTGTTTCGTAGGCGGATACCTACCTACCCATATTTACTTATATAATTTACAGGGTTTTAAAGGGCTATATTCTTCTTTTATATCTTATTCGCCGGGGTATAATCCATCGATTATTCTTCTTTACGGGAATATCGATACGACTACTAGGTCGCATTTCTCCACAATCTTTCTCCCTCAGCTCGGATGGCCCGTAGCTAAGCCTTATCCCTCCTCTAGACTACCCCCTTCACCACTTTGGGTTAGATAGGGCAAGTCGCATCGAAGGCGGCGTAAGGCCCGTTACACGACGGGCATTTAAAGGGGCAGTCGCAGCCATCGTGACCCTCAGTGCCGCCGCAGGGTACCCGGTGTTAATCAGTTATATAGGAAGGAGAGCTGCACTTAAGGCATCTCTTCCTTCTAGTGCACATTCGTTCGCTATGAAAACCGCCGCAGCGGAGACATTAAGGAGACCTCTTCTCCTTTAGGAACTGCAGGTTTATAAAAACGCTGGCCCCTATCAAACGAAGGCGTCTTAGTAGTTACCTTACGGCTTCCGCCTTAAACCAGGCTATTACCGTACCTAGCCTTTCGACTTCGTCCTTCCTAGAGAAGTATGCTTTTTCAGGCTTAAGTTTCGTCAAGACCTGGATCTCTTCAAGGAGCTCCTCGGTCGTGATTTCTAGCTCAGTATTAGTTACCAGACAATACCTAGTATAAGGGACGTTTATAATATAAGCTCGGATCCAGGTATCGCATTACTCAATCGCTTATGCTTAGAGAAGGGCAGCGATCTATTCTCTATTCTCTAACAGGACTTTTACACTATCCATTAACAAAGGTAGGAGTACTAATCCTATCTTAACATAATCGATCCCCTTAAGGGCTTCTCGGGCTTAGGGACTTAGCCTTTCCCGAACGAAGATATATATATCATAGGCTTTCTCGTTCCGAAGCGGGCTTTTAAGCGATAGACACGCAAAGACGCATAGATCCTTTAAGGCCGCCCGGTTTATAACTTGTTTTACAGCTTATTTAGCTAGCATTGGTTTATCCTGTCTTCTAGACAGTAACTGGCTCGCCGCCGCCGCATATAAACGGACTAGGGGCGGCTAGTTCTGGGTTATATACGAGGGATACCCCTAGGAACTCAGGTCAGTCTCGCTAGGCCCTATACCAATAACGTACATAGACCTTACTAGACCACGTTGATGCCGGTTTGAACGCTATTTCTCCTCCTAAAGCTCTCTCTCCAAGGATTCGATCTTCGTTAAACAGTCTTTCAAAAACTATTCCCTCTCGGCGTCCCGACGTAGGAGGTCCTAGACAAGATTCGAAAGCTTGTTAATCTCGTCTTTAAGCTCAGAGTTATCCTAGTAGTTAACCTACTCAACCACTCTAACCTTTACAGTCGGCTTCCGGACTCGTCCCGACCGCCGAGATATACCGGCGTCCCTATAAACCGTGATCGATGGCCCTACATCTAGGGAGACCGCCATGGTCATAGAATTCAGCTCGTATAGGCTAATATTAAGAGATGATAGTGTAGTGGGCCGTAGCCCTCTATAACCTTAACAATTACTAACAGTGGGTACCTTTCGAGGTATGTGTTCTGCGTCGCTCACTTTGGTGGTGGTGGTGGTGGTATATTTAACGTCTCGAGCGACGAGAGACGTGTTGGGCGCGATGCCGACATGGTCTATGCTAATCTAAATCATGTTACAAGGCTACGTCTTCACCTAACGCTCCTGTTCAAACCGCTCCAAAATGAAGCAGATCTTCTCACCTGACCAGAATTCTCTTATCCGCCATCCTTTTCCCGGGTCGCTTCATCCACAAGAAAGGTAGTTCGGATAGTACTAGGAAAAACCACAAGGGGGAAAAACCTAGCACGGCCGGTCGTGGTGTGGTTCTACGCCTTTCTTCTCTCCACTTTGCATTGGAGCGAAGCAAGGAAGGCGTACAGCAAGTCAGCTCCTAGCCGATGGCGATACAGGAGCCCGCAACAAACGCTCTCCGTTACTGCCTGAACAAGTCAGGCTCTGGCGGGAGCGAAAGTGTTCAAGACCTTCCAGATAGAAGGTCTGGCACGAAGACAGAAAATAGCCTAACTGCTGTGCCGGGGCTTTGGTGCCTTGTTTGAGTGGTGGCCCGCACGCGGCGGGCACAGCGCGCCGCAGGATAGTGGACGCGCGGATCGGCGAGGGCGAGAGTGACCTTCAAACCTTCTAAACCCTCGCCCTACTTCACTTTCGGGGGAGGTCTCGTCGTGTTTGGTGTTGTGAAAGGAATGAGGGGGAGGGTTGCTGTGGTGGTGTTGAGAGACGAGTCCGAAAGTGAAGACGGAAATAATAAGACCCGTTAGGGGTACGGGCTGAAGCCCTGCAAAAACCTAACAATTCTTAACACTGGGTGCCAAGAAAAGGTTTTTACAGGAGAAGGTGAGCTCACTTTGGGTGATCACTGTGATCACCTTATCGTGTGCTCACTTTCCTTATCGTCACGTGACTTGTTCCATAGTTCTTCCGTTCCATGAGGAGTCACCTGAGTTCCCGGATTCTCTGCGTATATCAGGTAGATAGCCGCCGCAGGCCTGTGGGGCGGGCCCCCTGGCCTTGTTATGCATGTTGGGTTGTAACATTGGGGCCGGGTCGGCCCGGGCTAGGGGAGAGGTAGGAGGTAAAGCTCAAGATAATAGACCGTATAGTTATTTAGCTTTAGTTCTTTATTATAAAAGAAAATAAGGTTATTTAAGATATTAATAAAGAGGCGGTATATTACGTCGTACTTAGATTAGGCTATATTAGTACGTTAAAGCGCCGCGGCGGTAGTAGAGGGTACTTTATTTCCTTATAATATATAAGGACGGGATAGGAGCGGTACTAATGGGCGCGGTGGTAGTATGCGCGGGTGTGATAAGGTTAAAAGGGGGTCCGGTAACGAGCTGTCGGTATACTGAGAGCTTACGAGACCTCCCTGAGGCCTCGCGGGCGATAATTCGTAACTTGGGTGCAGGAAGTGGTGTTAGTGGGTGGGTGTAGGCCCGGGCAAGACACTAACAGTGGGTGTCTCACACGGGTGATGCGTATGGGAAGTTGCTCGGTGACGACGTTAGCGACGACTTTTAGGAAGGGAGATGGCCTTGAACGTCTCATCACGACGTTTTCCTGGACAACCTTCTGTATCCAGGGCATCTGAGAGATGATGGCAACGTATGCGCCGAATCGCTTGATCTTCTCATACAGCCCATAGGTGTCGTACCCGTCCAGGAACCCGAGGGGTTTTCCCAGTGATAGCTTGGCCACAACATCGAAGCAGTCTGTTCATATGTTAAGTTAGAGACACTCATTCACGCAGATGAAAGAATACTCCGCTGACAGTTGTAGCATCAGCGATTCAGGTCCAGCGCCTTCTTCTCCTCAATGTGACTATTGCAAATCTCGACGAACTTTGCAATAAGCTCATCGACATACGGTTCGTAAGCCTTCAATGATGTCAAGGAGTAGGCATTCGATACCAGACGTCGGTACCGCGAGTGGAGCGCCTCGTCCTGAATACTGAGTAAACTTGTTGTTACTCCGGATTGGCGGAAAGGCTTGTAAGCCTCACCCTGTTTATTATCCCATGTTATTCAGTATTCGCCTTTTCTTATGATAGAACACGCAGAACTCCAGGAAGCTAATCTTATCAAGTCTTGATCGGACACCGTAGATAACAGGTACCGCCGAAGGATCAAATACGGTGACCGAGCGAGGACCAAGGCGTACCACATCACCGTACTTGTCTCGTAGGTCGTTCATAATGCTTTCCTTTGGTGAAGACCGACCAGTACGCCAGGCTAGATAGACAGCGTACAGGTCTGTATAGCGAGCGAGCCATGGGCCTGGGATCTGAGATAGACGCGCCTGGCGGCTGTCAATAACCAGTTTCAAAACAAATGTAACTGCTAGAATAAAAACGGCAATCGATCCGTTAGTCACGTTGAATGAATTCTTGATGTCCATTTTGGTGTAGCTGCACATCCTTTCTTAGTGTTGGTGAAGATGCCGTTGTTGTGAAAGTGAACTGTCGTGAACATAGTGAACATAGTGAACATAGTGAACATATAAGGCTTTCGTTTGCCTTCGAAAAACGTGGATGGGTGGCTCAATTACCCCTCCTTGATAAGCCGAGGTTCATTCTGCTAGCCCGAGACTCAAAGTTATTCTAAATCAAGCCCAATGTCGTCTAGAACGGGCGGGTCATATACCAAGTCCGATTACCGTCTGGGTCCCTCCCCATGACCAGTCGCCGAGGACGGGGAATACCAAGATCGATGTATGAGCTCAGGAATGTACGATGGTGACTACGTGTCTCGTAGTTGGAACTCGGCGCTTAACGTAGCACGATGAACCCTACCATTAACCCCAGGAGAGTCATCTTTCCAGCAGAACGAAGTTTTCCTAGGCAGGAACAATTCTTCCACATAATACACAGTGTGTTGATTCATCTTCTGGTCAAAGCCCCAGATTGATTGAACATTTTTGATAAGGGTTAATCAGTCTTCCTTTTCCAGAACCTTTTACATCTGAGCATCTACAACTTGCTCGAGTGGGTTTTGGAAGTGGCAGAATCGGTTATGACGGAAACCTTCGGCAAGTTTAAGACCAATAATAGCACTTAAGCATACGGTAAGAAGTTCTGTTTTGAGCACAGATTCGTGATAGCGGGTCGTGTTAGCGCGGCCAAAAGAGTAAGAAGATGGCTGAACTCTACCTGATTGCTCAATTCTCTAGCTCCACTTTGCCTCAAGCTTGATCGAGGCTGACTAGGCCAATATTTCAACGTCTTCAGGCCACAAACCGTCCGAATGATCGGGGTGCTGCCACGTGTGGGACTGGGCCGAGGAGACTTTGACCTTTTATCAAGCCTTGACACATGTACGTGTGAAACATTAGATTTCGAGTGGTTAGAAACACTGACAACTTATCCCATCGGGTGCTAACTCACCTCATTTTGCCAAGACCTCCAAGTACCCACTATTTACACTTTATTACCCCGCATTTAAAGGGGTACTTGACGATACGTCACTCATTCCTATGCTCTTTTGCCCATTATCATCACTATTATTACTATTTTGATTGATATTGTTATGTCTTCTGGTGATTCTGATACCTCTATTGCATCTAATGCTTCTATTACTTCTATACGCAGCTGTATAGTAGTTGAGGTCCACCCAGAAGACCTTACTGCTGCCTGTAATACAGACTGTACGCCCGAGCGCTGTGACGCAGCTACAGTCCGGCCCCACGAACCTCCGGCTACTCAGCATGGTCCTCCGGGCTCCTTCCGGCCCTTGACGTGCCGGCCCGGGCCCAAGAGATACGGGGGCTGCCGGCAAGCCCGCTTGAACTGTTCCTCCAATACGTTCTGCAGAGCCTCGTGGAGCAGTGGGCCCAGTGGACGAATACAGCGCCGTTGTCTAAGGAGGGCCCTAGGGCTAGAACGTCTAGAGCGAATTCATGGCGGCAGACTTCAGCAGACGAGATATACCTCTTCCTAGGGATCCTATTATATATAGGGATTCATAGGGAGTCTAGATTATCAACCTATTGGTCAACCCAGCAGCAAACGGAGGATCCTATCCACCTATTTACACGGTTTATGTCCCGGGACCGTTTCCAACTGCTACTCCAGCGACTACGGATATTCAACACTGCGGAATTCCAGCCCAGCCGGCCCAGCCAGCCTAGCCGGGGCCGGGGCCGGGGCCAGGGCCGGGCCCAGGATCAAATGCCAGATGTATACCGTAAAGTTAACCAGTGGTCAGCCCACATCCAAGAGACTGGGGATTCCCTTTATATACCTGGTTCAGACCTTACAGTTGACGAGGCTATGGTCCGATTTACAGGTCGATCTCTTGAGACGACAACGATTCCAACGAAACCTATCCCAACTGGCTATAAGATCTGGATCCTTGCCCAGTCTGGCTACTGTATACGGTGGCTGTGGCACGTCCATGGAAAGGGCCCATACGCATAGTCCCCCAGGCCCGGCCGGCTAGGCCAGCTGCTGGAAAGCTGGCTCTGTTGACACCAACGCAGCAGGTAGTAACTACGCTTATTTCACTACTTCCAGCTGCAACCTACCACTTATTTCTTGACAGTCTCTTCGCCTCTGAATATCTAGGAATAACCTCACGCAGCAAGTAAGAAAAACTCGGCAGGGCTGTTTAGACTGTAATGTACCTTTATGTATGAAGGGAGACTGCTGGTACCTCTGGCATACACAAAATATATAGAGAATAGAAGTACTGGAAATCCTGTTGAATCATTGGATAAGTCTGATAGGCTGGGAAGTTCCTATTGGCTCTACCCCACCTCTTGGCAAAATGAGGTGAGTTAGCACCCGATGGGATATACTTTCCCAATGTCTCAGGAACTCCGCCATTCATTTCGAACGAATTTCATACAAAATAAGTGTATCTCGTCGACTGCATAGGCAACACCTATTACTACCTGACTTCCTTCACTGGAACACTCTCGTTGCTCTTGGTGCCCTCGTTAAGGACACGCCAACCACCAACACCATGCAGCTTAATATCGTTCTGGGCACCGTCACTTTGTCCATCGGCATGGACAGCTCAGTCACAGCATCTCCCATGCTCCCAGCACCCCCGACTCCACACCCTCTCTTTTCTAGACCTAACGCTGACTATGGCCGCACCCAGGTCTTCGCGTATGGTGTCAGAAATCCCGGCAGCACGTGCACCCCGGGTGGATTCCACCGTACACCTTACGAGAAGCCCGACGGCATCACCTACCAGAAGGGTGGCAACTTTCTCCAAGCGGGACATTGTTGTCTATACTGACGGGTCCCAGATGTCGGACGGCAGCAGCACCTCCGCCGGAGCAGGCTGGGTAGGGTACCAAGCTATACGGCAGATCTTCCGCGGATCCGAACCACTCGGCTCCTAAACTGAGGTGTATGACGCGGAGGCACATGCTGCGTATCACGGCCTGATAGAAGCCGCCCGGGCTCCTACGGCTCGTATGGCAGATAACGTCCATATCTGCCTCGACAACCTCGCAGTCGCGGCTAGACTATACTCCCAGAGTATAGGAAGTAGCCAGGCTAGATTTAGGGCCTTCAATAGGCTCTCTTCCTCCTGGACTCGGGGACAAAGAGAGAGCTGGACAACCCCCGGCAGGGTTTATGTTTGGTGGTGCCCTGGGCACACGGGAGTACCAGGAAATGAAGAAGCGGATGCTCTAGCCAAGGAAGCCTGCAAACTAATCCTAAAATTATAATCAAAGCCCTCATTAGCGCACCTAGAAAGGCAAGCTAAAGCAGCTGCCTTCCAAGCCTTTGCCAGAAAATGGCTGCCCTAATGCCCTCGGCAATATGCCGACCTCGAGATAGTTCTTCATCCCAAGCCGCCCGAACTCCGCCTCCCTCGGCACTTACTAGGAAGGCTATACGTAGCAAGATCCTATTATAGAGACTTTGTAGTATATTACGAGAGATTTGCTTATTAAGATGCGTTGCTTAACTATAGCTATGGGAAACCTAAGATACTAGTCTATTTTTACTTCTATAAGCGTGGACGTTAGGCTACACCGCGCTACCTCCGCTAACATATGGCTAAAGTAAGTATTGATTTCTTATTAGGTTCTGCTAAGGGAGCCTCTCTTCTATACGAATAGATAGAGGAGACTAATTTCTTTTCCGAAATTTGCCCAAGTCATTAAACAGGAACGTTAGGTGAAGACGGTAGCCTGTAATATAGTTTAGATTAGCATAGACCATGTCGGCATAGCGCCCGGCACGTCCTTTTGTTACCAGATGTTAAATACATCATCATCATCATCATCATCATCACCTACCAGAGGGCTTGGTGTCCTAGCCAGTGCGATCCGTGGAACGCAAAAAAGGACCCCAAGGGCCGCAAATGGGCAACTGAGGATGAGGACCAGGGGTCAGGGAATGGACTTATACGTGCCTTTGATAGCTGGAGCTCTAAGCAAGTTACCAGGAGAGCAGGACAAGAGGAAGACCTATATCATCGATGCAAATTCAGTAGCCCCCAAGGAACGCGACCCTCGTCAAAAAGTTTATGCCAACAGGTTGAGGTACCGAGATCTTCTCACCTAGGGTAGCTCATTCTACAATTACTAAAGTCGCTAAAGTCGCAGCCATTGAGTAACTGGGCCTCAAATTTCCCCCTTCGCTGTAACCAAATAAGAGACACGGGCCACCTGCCTCAAGTCTAATACATGCGGCATGCAAGATTGCCCCAAGTCTTTTCTTCGTGGACAAGACAATCAGCTGCCAAATTGTCATTCTTCAATTGGCTGATACCTCAGTCCGTATTCATGTACAGTCAAGTCCGTGTCGGCGTTGAATGAATCCCGTGTCCGTTTGATCTTCATTAGGTACTCTCTGCTGATAAATCTCCTCAGTCAATCTTTTAAGTGGGTGACACACTGGTTTGCCACCCAGTATGGAGTACCTGACCTCTATTCTTGTTATGCCTACTCTACACACAGTTCTTGCTATTCCTGCTTTCCTCATTGCTCTCTCTTTTCTCCCCTTCAGATACCTTGTGAATACTCTTTGAGAAGTGTAGTACGATAGTTATCCTAATGCCAGTAGCTATGAGAAGAGGGCCACTCGAGCGTTGGCCGGCATCCTATTCTGTCACCCACTTGCTTGTTCTGAGCCTGCCAGATGTTGTCTAAAGAGAGTTTTATCCAATGTGGGTTCTACCCCGTGCATGGCGGAGATACCTACCCGCTTTAGGAATGTTTAGCCCATCGCTCATAGATTAGGTTTGGTACAAGGGGCAAGAACATGACGAAAGGTACGAATTGCGATTGGAGCATTGCAAAATTGAGATGTGATTGTGCATGTCCACCCAGCGACAACTACGAAAATCATGGCCATGTATTTGGTGATATGCACTGCTCAACTCGCTTCTTCAACTTCAACATGCTCTCTGATGTAATGATTGGTCAAGTTAGGATCGTTACGGCTCGGGCCAGTCAATGTACTAGGAGCGTTTGCTGTGTTTTGTCCCACTTCAATGACATTACTTTGACACTACTATGCGACTTTTCAGTAGGCTATGCATCTTTATTCCAATCACATCGCTCTACAAACAACTATCCTCCCCTCCCTAGAGCAGCTTTACCCTCGTCCAATCACCCCGGAAAGCCATCGATAAGAGGTACATGTTTGCGTTTTCGAGGTCCATCTCTAATCTGTTTGTTTTGACAGATCATAAAAGAGTAGCATTTTAGTGGCTCTATGACGGGTTGCACACATAGGCGCAGCCCGGAACTAACTTGCAGGCATTGATCGTGGAACTCTTGCCAGCACTCAAGCATGCCTGAGCGCAGGAATCGCACCAAGACAACTCAGGGCATCAGCCAGCATGCTCAAACATCTCGAGACTTGGTGTGGAGTTGATGGAGATAAAATACGCACCAGGTCTTGCCTCTTTTCTACCTCAGCTCCAGGCGCCGCGAGACTGAGCCCAAGGAAGAATGCTGCGGTAACGGAGGAAAGGTTCATCTTGATGATTGGAGATTTAGTGGAGTTTGCCTGCGTGATGTCGTAGTAAGTAAAAGTTGATCTTGAGCCAAAACGAATGTCGGACTTGCAATTGGTCGGAATGTGAGCTTTTAAGTGCGGCACGCTGTGTGCATAATCAGGATCAAGATTACACCACCTATCGTTGGCTTGCTTGGCTTCTCCCTCAGCCAACCCTGGTATTTCGTTTACCAGTGCCGGTTCTCCGGGCGGACTTTCGCGAGCGTGACAACTCGTCCAAAGGACAAGCCAATCTAGGCATCTGTCTATCTTGACTTCTAACTGACTCGCTGGAACACATTGTGCATTTCTTCTCGATACTTGTAGCACGGAGTAGCGGAGCACCGAAACTTTCCATTTGCATCAACCTGGTAAATTTTGTGAGATGTGATTAGAGTGTCTACTGCTTCGTAGTGCTGACATCAACTTCATTCATATCTGTTCACCCCCTTAGTCGGTCATATTGACCAGCCGCTGGCTTCAGGTTGGGTTATCGCCATGAAGGGTATGATAAGATTTTACGCAACCCATTCTTGTAGCTTCTTGGTGACTCTGTCATTCGGGACTATCTTCCAAACTAAAATTATGTCTGAAGTTAAGCGAACTTCACTGCTTCTGTCTTTTTTCCTTGAACCCCTTCTGTCCGTCACCGCAAGGATTCCGAATGGGACTGGAAACTGGCCTCTGGTGGTTACATGTAGGTTCGACGTAACGTCCAAAAGGACATGTTACAAGATCCGCCCATCCTCACACATTGACTCTTATGTCCCTTTGGGTATTTTTGTCTTCAGGCCTGAGGAATTAGCATCTTCAGTTCAATGATACGGTAGCTATTGACACGCGGGAATCCGCAGACATGTCTTTAAACTTGTTGCTGGAGGCGAAAGCAACCCTCTCCGCATTCCCTCACGCCATGGTGATCTGTTTGCGGCCATATATTCAGAAGGTGGCAGTATCATAGGCACGAGATTAATTCTTGAGCCCTGTATATCATGGAATCCGAGCCAAATAGTAGATGTGATATGCACCCCACATGGATCTTGAAGTCACGAATAGCTCATCTAGTCGATCTTTTCAATGAGAGACTACCATTGCCAAAGAATAATGGATAGTTTAGAGCTCTCTATCGGATTGAATTAATAGGAGATCAGTCGCGATTTAAGTAATACTAGACGTACGCATTGCAGTAGACCGACTTGATTGCAATAAGCACAATTCATTTGACCTTGTCAGCTCTATCTACGAAATCTGCGCCATGGAACAACTCAGTCTGCTACCACAAATCAGGTAGCATGTTAGAATATCCAATTATCGTGAAACTCCTGGATGGGGACGTGAATGGGCCCATTGGCTAACACATCCCCCCGTTGCGCCACAAGCCGATGCTCGTGTCAGAGCCCTCCCGGATAGGGGCTAGTTAGAGGTAGTAAGGAGTCCAAGCAACAAAGGAGCAGCTCAGATATATATACAGCGCAGGGAGTACACATCGGGGGAGGAGCAGATTTCAGTAATTCATCATTCTACCCCTAACTGCAGTTGGCCTCTGAGAGCTTCCACCCTGCGTCAACACCCCAAACTTGACAGTTCGCTGGCGGGGAATCGCTGATTGTGCCTGATTGTCCTCCTCCACACCTCGACGGTAAGAATCAGCAGAATGATGATTGGCGACAGCCGGAAGGTTAGTATCATCAGCCAGAGGACTGTCTGAGTGAGGACTGGCAGGAAGTAGAATGCCCACAAACCAAATCACCCCGAATTCCCTTCTCAAAGCGATCACGAATGGTCGATTCCCGAAAGACCGATACCATGATTTATAATGAGTATGGTGCATGGCAAGACGAAGAGTAGGGATGGGTTCAAGAGATCATGTGATGTGTAGTTATTGCGAATGAATTTCGAAACCCGATAATGTATGCCGATGGATGAGAGAGTGAAGATGACCTTGGGGATGAATCTCAGACGTCTAGGAGGAGTATTCATTTGGTCCCAGGTGTGTGTACACTTGTGTTTGTTTTGCGAACGTGCGTGCGTGCGTGCGTGTGCGTGTATATTCGTGTCTTCACCAGTAACTAGCCGATATCTGCTTCTCAAGCTTCTGGCTGCGTTTTATTATATAGGTATATTTAGGTTGCCACACGACTTGTGTTCTCCAGGCTGGTTTATCTTTGACTACTAAACAATAGTCCTATGTTACTCGGACGCAGCAAGGGAAGGCTGCCTGAGGACAAGCCGCTGTCCCACATCACGTACAAACAACAGACAAAGAAGAGTGGGATTCTACTTGGACTCTGAGTAGGTTCAGGATGAG